CCAGGTTTTCTAGAAAGAAACTCCCTATCCTGAGCGTAGAGCTCACAGAGCTATACAGGAAACCCTTGATTTAACGGACTCATTCAGGCGAGGGGGTGTCCGCTAGGTTTTCCCAGTGCGTATGTTAAAAAATTCACCAATTAGTTTTTACTCATGTAGACACGTCTGTGTAATTAGAATTAAGTATGTATGAAAAGTTTAATTTCACAGGAAAGTTTTCTACATGTATTACTGTGATTTTAAATTTACACTGAATAGGTTTAGTAAACGCATTTACCGGTCACTGAGAGTAAACAAATGCACACGGCGGGGGCGTGGCTTAGCTCGCGTGGGAACATCCACCGGCCCCTGTTAAAACGGCCACAGAAAGTCACACCGCTGGATGACAGAACAGTGACTGCCCGAGGTGCGGTGTGATCGCGTGCTAATCATTCGCCCAACATGGTGCGCAGCAGCGGCTCCTGGATTTAAATACACAGACTGCAGCTGTAGATACGTAATATTTACTTACGTCGGCAAAATTACTAGTGCTTTTTCCAACACGCGACCTATTCGCTAAAATTTGTTAAAAACAACAGTGAATTAATAGCAGGAGACCACCTGTTGATTTAATTATAAGCAAATCTTGGTTAAAAGCATTTTAAAATGAACAGGGCATTAACTTTCACCTTGACATACAGACGGGAAATTGTCCGTTAAATCGAGGTCCGCAGAATCGAGGGCTTCCTGTACCTGCCCTTTGCTCGGTAAGCCTGTTGGACGCTCACGTCGGGGAGCAGAGGTTCGGAGAGACAACGCCAGGCTGTCTGTCCCCCAGCAATATGTGCGCAGCCTCTCACCTTATTAAAACTGGACGTCCTGGACCCGGGCAGGAGTGCGGGATCCCTGCAGCCCTGCAGGCAGCCTGTACTGACCAGCTCCTGGCTGTTTTCCTGCAGCTGCTGTAGAAAACAAACACTACAGTGGGAAGCGGGGCCGGGCGCGGAGAGCAGGAGGGCATCACCCCAGTGTGGAGGCCGGGAATCCAGGCCCAGGTGCGGGCAGGGCCGTGCCCCGCTGGGGGCTCTCGGGGAGCGTCCCTCCCACCCGGTCCAGCCGCAGGCTCCTGCTGGAGTTCCTGGGCTGCGGCCACATAGCTCCAGTCCCTGCTCCCGTCTTCTCTCCGCGTCCTGTCCCCTCTGGCTCTCCTAGGACACTTGTCATGGGATCCGGGGCCTGCCTAGGTCACCAGGGTGGTCTCATCTCGCAGATCCTTCACTCGGTCGCATCTCCAGACAGGCCTGTTTGGAGGGTGCGGTTTGCCCCCTGCAGCTGCACTGGAGGGAGCCAGCGCTTGGCCACTGGGGTTTGAACAAGTTCACTCTGAGTTCCGTGCGCTCAGTTGTGTTCTGTGGTTTGTACAGATTCGGGACCTGAAGACCCTTCTCCCCATGCCTGGTGTGATGGTGGGCGACATAGGGAGGAAGCTCGGGCAGAATGGTCTGGACAACGGGTAAGTGTGCCCCGAGCTTGCTGTCCTGGCGCGCTCCTCCGTGGGCCGTCCTCGAGGCTGCTTGCTCGGGGCTTAGACTCCTAACGGGTCGGAGGCTGCATGGCTGCCCGCCTGTGATCCCGCGGGTACCCTCAGCACTGTCCCCGCGCCCTCCTGCACTCCCCCGGAGCTGGGGGAGACGTGGTGGGGACACACGTGTACACCTCCACACTCGGGAGCCACGTCACAGAGGGCCGTCTCCTGCGTCAGCGCCAAAGCCAGGAGGGATAAAGGACCCGAGTTCTAAACAATGAACTTGTCCTCAGGCCCAGCCAGGCAGCTGCAGTCCGGTAGGGCCTCAGCCTGGGCAGGGCTGAGCTGTGACCTGGGCCTGCCCCCCCAGACGAGGTCCCCGCCAGCAACCTGGAGCTGCAGCACCCGGCATGTGTCCTCTGATCTCGGGGGTGGGGCAGCGTAGTGTAGACGCCAGGGTCGGAGAGGGTGAGGAGCCCAGCAGTGGGCAGGGTGGGCGGCAGAGTCTGTCACAGGGGCCATGATAGCCTCCCGAGCTGGTGTTAGAGCCCAGGATCGTCAACGGCACGAGCTTATTATGAACCAGACGGCTCCAGATTCAGATCCTGCGCCTCCCTCAAACTCCTCCTTGGCCTGTTTCCTCATCAGTGACATGGGCATGATGACAGTCCCCGTGCCAGGCCTGTGACAGTCCCACCTGCACGTGGTGGTGCTCCGGGCGGGCTACTGTGTGTCTGCTTCCCCGCGAGCATGTGGGTGCCACACACTGTACCCGAAAGCCTGGCTGAGGGGTTTGCACCTCTCTCCCCAGGAGCGAGTCTAACTGGGGAGGGGGCAAGGCCGGGAGGGCCCCTTCGCCTGTGTCTTCATCAGTGTGGAGAATATTTATACACCTGCTGCTTCGTAGCAAAGAGCATAGAGGAAGCCGCAGGGACAGTTTGAACTCACTGGGTGACCTACCCCAGTCATTAAAGCGGGAGGCAGGTCGTCTCCGGAGAGAAAAGCTGCACCAGGTGGTCTCCAGGGCCCCTGAGCATGGAGAAACCTCCTTTCAGCTGTCCTCACGAAGTAGGGGTGCTGGGGCAGTGTCTCAGGTCTCCGCCCGGACCCTCAGAACAGGTGGGACCCCAGGCTGCGCCACATGGGGAGCCGTTGATTTTATAGTTAGTTTGAGGAGAAAACGGGAAGCTGTTAAAAACCAAGAGCAAACACGCAGGACCCGTCGAACTCCACACTCGGCATCCGCGCGCCTCCCACGGGCCTGTGCGGAGAGCCTGGTGCCGTGGGAGCCGGATCGGCACCGTCGGTCCCCTTAGATCTCCGGCTGGTGCAGGTGCATGGGGGGCCTGGCGTGGACAAGCCGCATGCTTTTGTCGTCAGCACTGGGCCGGGCAGCGATGCCACTCGGTCTGACTGAGAGGTCGCCCCGGCCATGGGCAGCAGGCGCCAGGGCGACTGCACAGGAAGCGGGGCGGCGGGCACTGCCTTGTCCTGGACTTCGAAAAGCGCGTCCCCCCATTAGGTGTGTGCGTCCCGGTGTGGGACTCGGAAAGTACGCACCCTCGCAGGGTCTGCGGGTACAGCGAGGCCTGGCCAGGTTCAGCCTCGGCGTCTGGTGGTGGCGACGGACCCTCCAGCTGTGCACGCGTGGGGCCAGCTCACACCCAGCGGGCAGCGTCTCTGGTCGCTGTTCACTTGGTTTTACAACCGGAATGTTTACCGTTGTCCTGGAACATCACCGAGACCCTCCCGTAGATGCATGTTTCTGAGACTGATCCGGGGGCCGTCACCGAGCACACTCATGCCGCTGTGGCCCAGGCTCGTCCGAGGCCCCGGTGTCACCATGAGCACCCCGAGGACTTTGAGAGCAGGTCGACCAAACCAAAGTGACACTGTGGCCCGTGGAGCTGCTCAGCATCAGGCCAGTGGGACGCTGGGAGTGGCCGTACTTGGTCCCCGAGCCTTCCAAGGTTCAGTGGCCTGTCCAGGGTCCCGGGCCCCCTCCCCCGAGAACACCCTCCCGGCAAGGTGCGCATGCCCAGCAGAGGGCGCCGGGTTTCCAGGACGGGAAGTCCCCGCCGGGGTCTCCTCTTGCCTGCCCTTTGCATCCCACTCTACTCTCAGTGTTAGAATTGATTTTCTTTTTCAATCTGAGGTTATTTATCTTGAAAGTCAAGGTTAGATTTTGTCATTTCACAAGAATTTCGGAGGATGTGGGACTACTGTAGAAATCAGAGGCAAACAAGTTTTATGGGTCGATTTAGGCAGATAACTCTAAAAGCAAAATAAAGACCCTCTTGAGTGAGGTTTTGGCCCCTCACCCTGTCCTGAGCTGCAGGATGTTCTCGTGCACTGGCTCTGAGATGAGGCGGGACCCACGGCCTCGGGGATCCTATCAGAATTGGCCGGGTTCCTGGAGGAGCCGGGTGCGCTTGGTCCCGGGAGGGAGGGAGGGTGTGTGCAGCACCCTCCCCGTACCACCCCATGTCACACCC